TTTTCCTCCCTTTTTCCCCTTTTCCCCTGCTTGGTCTGGCAGCGGTCAGGAGGATATGAAAATCCCATCCTATTTTCTTTCCCCTGTGCACACATAAACACCTCACACACACATTTTTATACACGACAATCCATAATACTGCCGTGCAGGGGTGTTCCAGAGCAGCATTTCGCATGGACAGGAAAAGGCCATCATCTTCTGGTGGATTCACCATCCCTCCCCACTAACACCAGCAGTGCTTACACCCAAATTCTAACCATTAACAGCCAGAAACATCATGAACCATGAACAAACAACAGCAAAACTGTCAGGGGAAGCCATTAAAATAATTTTCTTCTTTTTTTTTTTTTTTTTGTTTGGGTTTTTTTTTTTGTTTTTTTTGGGTTTTTTGGGTTTTTTTTGGTTTGTTTTTTGTTGCTTACTGTTAAAATAGTTGGGGTCACAAACGCCCAGCAGACTCTCCAGAATTTACTCGGCTGGAATCCGATCATCATTTCTATATCTTCACAAAACCTTTGCAATCCTGTGAACAGCAAAACAYGAAAGCAATCAGGTGTGAAAGGAGCAACTGCAGCCTGAAACAGAGCCCTGACTACRAAAACAAACTCCAACTCGTTGGCTGAAAACTTCCACGGAGGATCTGAGAACACAGGAAAAAATGGGACTAATAGAATGAGAACCATTCCAGTGAAATATTTACTTCTTCAGGATTAAAGCAAAATTGAGCTTTTATAGAGAGATTAGATGTTGGGTTAAAACATTAGTGAAATGTACTGGGTGTCTGCAATTATTTGTGTAGTTATTTCCATAAGAAGGTAAATAAATTATTCATTTATTTCTGTCAATTAAATAAATTACTAATTTATTAATTTCTTTAAATATTATTAGTATCTATATGCCTTCTTCAGCCCAGGCAATATTTCAGTTTCTGTGTATCTGCTACATGACTGGATTACAGCTGTACCCCTTAGCACTGAAACTKTTATTTTAATAAATAACTGTCCTGTTATTTTTCACCTGATACATAAGTGGTATTTAATATTGCTAGAGACCACCTGTAAATATTTTAAATTATATTCAGTGTTGTCTGAACAAAAAGATCAACTGACATCTTAATTCTTCAGATTATTGTGTTATAATATTTTGTATGACATATTTATATGTATTTTTGCATATAAAGTACACAATTGTAATATAATTGTGCTCTCATCTATAAAGTCACTTGAGTTAATGAAACCTGCAAGATTGGAAAATGATATTTCAGCCATCTCTGCAGTTCCTTCCCTGGCCATGCCATGTGACAGGAAAGGTGCCAGCCAGCAGCTGCTATTCCCTGCTGGTTATCAGTAATTTAGCAATTTATTAGTAATTTATCCAAAAGTAATAAAAACCAAAATTGAAAATGATCCCAGCTTTTCTAATTTTTCATAAGAAGAGAGAGGTCTGAGCTCATCTGTCACACAGATGGTTAAAATTTGGGCCAATTTTATCTAAATTTTGCTCRGCATTATTCTGCAGCATTTTGTCTGGCTTTCCTGATGTGGGGRAAGCTTAAAAACCAGAGAAAAGGCRTTGAGAAAGGGAAGAAATACTTGGAACAAAAGCAATAAACTGCTTTATTTCTCCTTGTCTAGAGTCAGCAGCTGCTGAGTGCAAGAARGGATAATCCCAAGGCTGGATCCACCTGGTTTGGAAACCTTTCTGCTGGTGTCAAGGAGAAGTAAATCCATCCACCTGATTGTTCCAAGAATTAAGGAGGGGAAAAAAAAAAATCCTGGTTAAATTTCCTGGTTAATTATCATTATCCAGCACCTTGAGAGGCTGCAGGGCTGGATGGTGTCTGGCACACACAAACCCAGCTCAGGCAGACAGCACAGGAGGGAAAAGCTGCAGAGCTGTGACACGATAAGGAATAGGGGAGAAAATACAGGAATTAACCAGGAAAATACAGGAATTAACCAGGAAAATRGTACTGCAAGCACTGTGTTTAGAGAAGGGGAAAAAAATTACAACCTGCAGTGGATGTAGGTTTAGGAAACTGAGCCAAGGTGACCCAGAGATCACATTTTCTTTCTGTAACTGTAATTTCTTTCACTCTTTTTCTCTTTTYCACTGACTACCACAAGTGCTCTTCTTCAGAAAACCTCCTCTCTGTAAAATACATRGAATTTTTATGACCCATGGAATCTCTGTGCTCCAGCACCAGTCCTTCTCTATTTTGTAATACAAAATTTTTTTGTGTGTCTGGGCCAAAGGTAACCTGCAGGGTGGTTGTATGACGGACCCAAAAGGAGGTTTTTGCTGCAACTGAAAGTTTTGCCCCTGTTTTTTATTTACCTTTATTTACCACCTGCAGTGAGCTCACACAGCCATCCCTGTGCTGGGCAGGAAGCAAAGCTGATTTTTAACTATTGCAGCAACACAAATTTCAGGCTGATGGGTATTTCCACAAACTTTAAATCTCATTTAAAGCATCTGCTTCAGCCACACTTGCTGCTGCAATGGAGGGATAGGTTTCTGCCTCCAAAATTCTTGCAGGTTTTGTGTAAACCTGCAGAGATTTGTTTGAAATTCCAATTAGAAAATAATATTTTTTTTAAAAAGTTCCTTTTTGGAATGGTCAGTAGATATTCACAGTTTAAGGCACCCTTAAATATTTAACATTTCAGGAGTCAAATGCTTGTGGACAGGTAGAGGGCTTGCATGCTGCTTTTCTCTTTCCAGTGGAAGTTCCACAGAAAAACACAAACCATGTTTTATTTCAGAACTCTTTTTTTTTTTTTTTTTTTTTTTCCAGATCCTAGTAAATCTGGTCTCCCTCTCAGGTCAGTCAGGCTTGATTAATAACTTTGGGAAATAAACAACACATGAAATTCCACATCTTATTTTCCCCTCTCTAAAGCAGAGTAATGTATTTGTGAGTGCTGAGATATTAAATCCATAAAAAAAAAGGAGACTGCAAAGCTGGTAAAACAGCTACTTCACTGCTCTGCTAGAGGTAAAATGTTCAAAATTACTGATGTTTTCTACAAATACACAGCTGCAGCTGCCACTCACTCTGACAATGAACTTTCCCAAAACCAGGGACACAACAGTTCTGAAAGGAGCATGAACAAAGTTATCATCAAATATTTTCAGTTCCCAGCAGTGTTTCACTCAAACACAGGGATTTTTGTCTTTAGCTTCATGCTACAAAATGCAGAGTGGGAATTATGCTGATGATTAAATTAATACCCCACCTCTAAGCTGCTTTCCATTAATCATTAATCATAATCTAAACAACTGGAGAATAAACATCTAAACATGAAATAGAAAGGTGCATTTGACTGGATTATGGAGCTCTGGCTCTACTGAGAAATAGGTGATTGCAAGGAAATAACTGAGTGTCCCTTTTTAATTTAAAAATCTCAACCAGCTCAGCAAGCAGAACATGTAACAAGAGCTGGAGACAAATTTATTTCATCATAAAAGCACCTGCCACTGTTGTGCCAAGCTGCTTGCCATGAAGAGTACAAGCACACACAGAAAGGTRGCAGTGGAGTGTAAAGCAGCAGTTGTCAGACCTTGAAAATCTATTGTGCCAATTTTAAACCCTGCTTGAAGGAATAGAAGCAGAGCAGCAGCTTCACTGGTATTTACAACACACAAATCACCAAAGTACAGGATGTATTCCTGCAAACACACCTCACAAAAGGAACTTTAGCCCAGTAGAAATAGCTCTGGTACATTAGTCAGATAGGGAGTGAGTGTAAAGGGAACATTTCCTTCTTCATTTAGGAGACTGGAAGCTCCTTATCCTGGAAAAAGGTTCGTTCCAGGGAAGCAAAGGCTTTGCCAACATCTGCTGATGAGCAATCAGTTGGACAGAAAAAATAGAAAAAAATAGACATAGAAAAAATGTTTGTAATTTGTCAAATCTTTTCCATGCCTGATTACACTAAAGTAACAGCTAACTAAAAAAAAAAGAAAAAAAAAAATTTCTCTATTCAAGTCCTTCCTTTGCAGAGCTATTATTATTTCTGTATTATTTTATGTTTTAAGGGATACTGACATTGCTGGGCAAAGCAGGCACTGGCCAGAGCAGTTTTTTGCTTCCAAACCTAACAAAATGCCATTCCACCGAGGAAGGTTTGCAGTGCTTCTGCCACACAGYGTTCAGAGGAGGAACAGAGCCACTCCTTGCACCCTGCTTACCTTCACTCTTCTGCAAAATCATGCAGAGCAAAGAMATTTTACAGAATTAAGTAGTTCTCAGAATATTAGCAATATTTTAGGCACAGAATTTTTATCCTGCACTCTGATACAGCAATGGCTTGAGCAGGGGGATCTGGCACAGAGCAGTGATGCTGTCAGTGCTGGTGGCCAGCAAGAGTGGAAACATCCAGCAGAACATGGTTCAGGCATGCTGGCAGCAACTGAGGAGGAGAAGGAAGGCAAAAAACTCCCCAGCAAACTCTTAAACTCTTGTTAAGCCTCCCCACTCATCATCTCTTATGAAATTGTGATGGTTTTAGAGAAGCTGGGTTTCATTTTACTTCTAAATCATCTCTAATTAAATTTGTTACCTTTCAGGGCCATTTTTAAAAGCCAAGAATTTTGATCAGCCAAAACATGATTGGCCTGGATCAACTTTACTCTCTGTATTCTGCATTTTCCCATCCTATTCTGTAACATTTCCTCGCTGGGTCATGTCTGATTTAGCAACCAATCTCTCCATGCAGGTTCTTTGAGTCAGTGGAGGTGAAATGCACTGCTGCATCTCCATGAAATCACAGAAAATGAGGAATAATCAGCCTCCTGAAAACACTGGGCAAGTTTGAGAGGAGCTGCTATCAGTTGTTKCTACTCCAGCAGTGCTTTGTACCCACTGAGCACCTTCCTCTCAATTTAATGTCCAGCAGCACGGATTGATGGAGCTGGTGCCCCCTCTCTGGGGAATTCATCGCCCTGAGTCTGTGTCTTGGGCAGGTAGGAGAAGGGAAAAAAGGGGAAAAATGAAAAAAAAAAACCCTTCAGAAGTTATTAAATGGCGTGCTGGGTGTGCAGGGAGAGTGTGGCTGCAGTGGGGGCTTTGTGAGGAGCTGTGAAAGCTTCCCCTGTGTCTGGCAGAGACCATTGCTGGGGGCTCCAGGACAAACCCACTGCTGGCCAAGGCTGGGGCAGTCAGGAGTGACAGCAACAGCTCTGAGAGCAGATTTTAAAAGGACAAAATGTTATAATTCAGGTGGCATTTCAGCAGAGAAGAGAGGAGTGAGAGGAACAGCTCTGCAGACACCCAGGGCAGGGCAGGAGGGGCAGGAGCTGCTCCAGGGGCCGGAGCTGAGGTTCCCCTGCAGCCCCTGGAGATCCCTGGGGATGCACAGACACAGCCAGAGCCCCTGGAGATCCCTGGGGATGCACAGACACAGCCAGAGCCCCTGGAGATCCCTGGGGATGGATGGGGGGAAGGTGTTTTTAAGATATCTTTTATCCCTCATTGTCCTGCTCTATTTATCTTAGCAATAAATGCAGTTAGCATCCCCAACCTGAGTCAGCTTTTCCTGTGATTAAAGTCTATTGAATACATGCATTTAAAGGTGTCCTGAGGTCCTATCTTCTTTCTGTCCAAAATAAAGAGAATTTGGAGGCATTTCATTTTTAAAAAAAAAATACTTCTTTCCTTAAGAATTTCACTTTATCCTATGCTTTGGCTGCCCAATAAYGATGTTTTCTCTTACCATAGATGTAGGAAACTCCAACCAGCTCGAAGATGGCAATAATGACCAGRGAGTAAGAGGCTGCATAGGTGTCCACAAGCTGTAACATGTACATCCCACCCTGGGGACAGAAAGAGAAGAGATTGCTCGAGGCATTGAGCAGACAGGAGCAGCTTTTCCTTCATGGTGAATAAATAAAATGAATAAAATGCTAAAGAAAAGCAGAGGGTACACCTGATTGTGAGACATTTAAGAGGAAGGACTGACCTGGGATCAGCCCTTCTACCTGCAGGGTCTCCAACCACTGCAGCAAAACAAAATCACCATTGATAGCAGAGCTGCCACAATAATGGGTCCAGCTCATCTGTTTATGTCCTCTCTTCACCATGGAGTTAAGCAGCATCATTCAGGTGAGGGAAGGACTGGATCCATCCTGGGCTTGAGAACAGCCAGGTTGGGCTGGTGGTGATGAGGTAARGGGCAAGAGAAGAAAGAAAAAAGGGGCAAAAGGATGGATAAAACATGTTTTGTGCATCTCGAAGTTGCTGGGAGTTTCTAATGCTGGAGGTATCAGTGGAGAAAGAACACTGAAGGTTATCGTGGCAGCTGCCAAGACTGTCAGGAKGTGTCTAATCTCGAAGGAAAAACACCCAAAACAGGTGTGCATRTTTATATGACATCCAAACTTGGTTTTGTTGGTTTTTTTTCCTTAATTCGTAGATTGGGTTGGAAGGAACCTTAAAAATTATTTCATTCCAGGTCACTCCAAGCTCTGTCCAGCCTGGGCTTGGGCACTGCCAGGGATCCAGGGGCAACCACAGATTCTCTGGGCACCCTGTGCCAGGGCCTCCCCATCCCCACAGGGAATAATTCGTTCCCAAAAATCCCATCTAACCCTGTTATTTCTCAGTGTGGGTTGAATACTTAATTTATATCACTCTTTTGGAATTTGGCTAGAAAAATTTGAAAGGCCTGATTCTCAGAAAGACCTGAATGGGAAAATCTTTTAAAAACATCAGTCAGAGCATCCTTTAAAAAA